CCTAAGGTCCCGGACATGGCCTTGGTCTTTCTGAGCGCACACGAGGCCATTGACCAAGTCCGCGGGAGCAGCGCTGGTCCGCGTCCGTGCCCGCTGCACTCCCCTGGCCTGTCACTCAGGCATGTCAGTCACCAGCCAGGCCTGCTTCTTGAAGAACCAACGTGCAGGCAGTGGCCCAGGCGCCTGCCGCCTGCAGGGCCTTGCGTATGCGTACAGGGGGCCTTGTGTGTGCGTGCAGAGGGCCTTGTGAGAGCGTGCAGGGGGCCTTGTGTGTGCGTGCAGGGGTCATTGTGTGTGGAGGGGGGGCAAGGGCTGGGGCGGGGAAGCTCAGGGGCTGCATTCTCTGGGGAGAGACTCTCCTTGGCCTGCTTCTGCCTTCTCTTCTTGAGCCAAGTCATGAATTCCTTACACAGACATGGCTCCTGCGTCCCTGGAAGGACATCAGAGTTACAGGAGCCCCGTGAAGAGGGAATGTTTTCAATTTGCTTCTGTTGCAAAAAATGCACAGGCTCAGATCAGTTAGCCACAATGCTTCGGAAGGTCATGAGCTGGAAATGAAGCCGCAAGGAGATCTGTGTCTCCCATATGTTCATCTCACTTCTCCGCTATTGCTGGGACAAAGCGGACTTTTGTTCTCTCTCTCTCTCTCTCTCTCTCTCTCTCTCTCTCTCTCTCTCTTTCTTTCTCTCTCTCCCTCGCGTGCGCGCGCGTGTGCTCTCTCTCCTGGAACTTGTGAATCTTTGTTTCTTGAACCTCTGTCTTTTCCCCTTTCACTTTCTAGTCTCTTTCTTCTCCCTCCTTTTGTCTCAGCCCACACTTACCAAAATATAAAATTGAATTATCAGCAGACTTCAGGGTTCTATTTTTAATAGTGTCATGTTCCAGGTCCTTAATTTTTAAAGTGAATGATGAGAACATTTCCTTTTTCTCCCAAGATTGAAATGCCTTTTACTGGTGGATCTTTCCGTTGGATTTATCTGTTGGTCAGAGCCCTGTGGTAGAGAAAAGCTTCCGTTTCCTTCCTAAGAAGTCAGGCTCAGGGCGAAATTAAGCTGTGAGAACAGTTCAGGGAAAGTCTTGGACGAGAGCAAAAGTTGGTTTTCAAGGAGGCACGGCTCTTTGGGGCAGGGCCCCCCCTGACAGGGACGTCAGCATCACCTCCTGCATCAGCAGCTCCCGGGCTGCTCCCGGACCTGGCTGCCCCAGACACTGGCTGTGGGGTGCCTCTGAGGGAGCTGTGATGAGAGGGTGGGGGGATGGAGGGCACTGTGGAGAGAGTTGACACATTTGGGGCTTAGTTGACACATTTTAAAATATGTGCTTGTTGTTTGGCTAGAATATAAATGAGCTGGACCCTCCCAGCCCTCCTCCCACATCCCCCTCTACCTGCTCCCAGGCCTCCAGGAGCCCCCCGCTTCCTGCCCTCTGCCCTGGGCTCTCTGGGTCTCGGCTCTTCCCCCTTGACAAGTGGTCCAGAAAGGATGAAATGGAGACAGACAGACAGACAGACAGACAGACAGTGATAGCCCCACCCCCAGCAGTGTCAGCTGGAACAGTCCGCCCCCTTCCCTCTGCACCCCTAATCTGGCACACTCCTTCCCAGGCTTGGGGCGCAGTGGGGGGGGGTTGCTCTCCAAACCTTCAGCGGAGCCTATTTGGATGGATGAATGGGCAGACGAACAGAAGAGATGTGGTTGGCACATGTCTGGCTGAGGCCCTGTTTGTGTATTTGTAAAATGCATGTCAGTCCTCGAATCTCCTTTTCTAATGGCCCAAACCTCTGGAAGCTGCTTTCCGGGCAGCAGGGCCTGTCCCCCCTCCCACTCTGCTAGGACACGCCTATTTTGGATAAGTTGAGCGGAGATTGGAATCCCAGGTTTCCTCTCCCTCTGTCACCCCCGGACACCTACACGCCCAGGTCGGCCCACCCCTGAGAATTCCAGGTGAATGACAGGTGTCCCAGGCCCGACTGCTTCTTCACAGACACCTCACTGTCCTCCTGGGCCCGCCAGGGCCGGCTTTGGGGAGTTTGGGGGGATCAGGATGCTTTGTTGGGTGAGCTCGAGGATCTTGGCAGACTTCTGGGCTCCAGGCTGTGCAGAGAAGAGAGGGGCAGCTGCCTGAACCCCTGGGCATCTGGTTAGGCACCTGGGGATGAGAAACGCCACACGTGTGGGCCCTGCCCACAGGCTGATACATCTGTGTTGCTCTCGCAGAAAGAAGAGAAGGCCATGATCGCCAAGATGAATCGCCAGAGAGCCAACTCCATCGGGCACAACCCGCCACACTGGGGAGCCGAGCGCCCCTTCTACAACCACCTGGGCAGCAACCAGGTGTCCAAGGAGATGAAGCGGATGGTGAGTGACTGGCAGGGCAGTGTGCGGGCAGCCCTCTCCAGGGATGGGCCTCCTGTGGGTGAGGCTGGGCCCGGCCCTGGAGAACCACAGAACAAATGCCTGGACCTGGGGCTCACCCACCTTTGGACTAGGAGCCAAAATGCCTGCCTTCTTGCCCCGGGCTCCCTCCCCCACCATCTCTTGGCAAGCTGAGTTGAGCTCTGGGACTTTGTAAGCCCACACTTACCATCGCCCCTTCCTCCTTCCTGGCAGGGGCTGGAAGCAGACCTAGCTGACTGGGCCCAGGGTGAGGCCCTGGGGAGTTGGGGGGCTTCAGCTTGTCAGATGTTCTTCCAGCACCTGCTGCATTTCCCAGGCCGCTGAACCCTACCCTCTGACTCAGATGCTCAGAGACCATCTCAGTGCTTGTTGGCAAGTGCCAGGGGATGGTCCCCTTGGCCCACTGTGCGGAGAAACACCCCTCTCCCTGCAGCCAGCTGGTGGGGGCATGCAGGCTGCACACGTGGAGGCCAGCATAGGGTTCTACCCCCCTTGCAAGGGACCCTGTCTGCCTCGGGGGACAGACACCCCCAGCATCCCTGCACACATCAGGGAAGAGCTAACGCAGGAAGTGTTGTCCAGGTTCAGTCCAGATGATGGAAAGGAATTCCGAAGATGGGAAGAAGACAAGGGTGACCGAAGTCAGGTTACAGCAGCCGTGTTTCTTTCTTTTCCTTTCCTTTCGTCCCAGAGCTCAAGGGCAGCCTGGCTTCCAGGCAGAGCTACCCGCCCTGCGGCAGGGCTGGGGGAGGAGCGAGGGCGCAGGGGTCCCAGTGTGGCCACATACCTGGGGCCTGTGCATTAGGACCCCAGCTGGGGTCTGTGGGCCAGACTAGGCTTCAGTTGCAGCAGGAAGGGTTACAGACTCCATAGGAATTCACAGACAGAGCCAGGGACCTGAGGGAGGGGACAGCAGGGGACGGTCACTCTCCTTGCTAGCTAGCAAGGAGCAGATGACAAAGGCTTAAGGAAAGTGTACAGGGGAAACAATGAATTGGGTCAAGACCTCTATTTCATATAATATATATATATATAAATTTTATATATATATAAAATTATTAATTTCAGAGAGGAAGGAAGAGGGAGAGAGAGATAGAAACATCAATGATGAGAGAGAATCATTGATTGGCTGCCTCCCGCATGCTCCCCACTGGGGATCAAGCCCGAAACCCAGGCATGTGCCCTTGACCGGAATTGAACCTGGGACCCTTTAGTCCGCAGGTCAATGCTCTATCCATTGAGCCAAACTGGTTAGGGCTCTATTTCACTTTTTTAAAAAAAAAATTTATTATTTTTTTATTGATTAAGTTATTACATATGTGTCCTTATCCCCACGTTACCCCCTATCCCCCCACTCATGCCCTCACCCTCCTGTTGTACGTGTTCTTTTTTAGTCCTCACCCAAGGATATTTTTATTGATTATCTTAGAGGGAGAGGAGGGGGGAGGGAGAGAGAAAGATCTATAGGAGAGTGAGACATCCATCGGTGGCCTCCAGCACATGCCCTGACCGGGGATTGAACCGCAGCCTAAGTATGTGCTCTGACTGGGAATCAAATCCACA